ATGAACTGGGTGGAGTTTTCAGGGACAATGACCTTTTCATATGAACTGGAATAACAGGTCTACTACCACAGGAATTTATCAAGCCAATACCTTGGGTCCCTGGTGTCTGGAAGAACTCGATCTAGAGGAAGGCGATCGCTGAGAAAAACATTGTAGCCATATTTCTCAAACAGACCCTGTGCCTCTCTTTGGTCATCCTCAGACAGATTGTCCCCCCAGTTCTTGAAGAGGACAGAGTTGGGAAACAGCTTTTTGGGTGTTTTCTCTTTGGGAGGCTCTTTTTGGTCCTGGATCTTTTCTTTGGCTTGCTTTTCCTCTGTTGGCTGCTTTTGGATGAGTAGTTGTTGGACCTCTGCAACTTTTTGAAGTCTCTCTCTGTCATCTTCAAGCATTTTCTGAATGGTATCCTGCTTTTGCTCAAAACTTTGGAGTATATTGCCTTGACAAAAATGTACAATATTGATGTGTAAGTGTACATATAGAAATAGATAGATACAAGATGTAGATCTATAGATATATAAAAACTTGAGTTACTTTTCAGAATGAGATTAATAATTACTTTGTAGAATTGACCCCAAACATATATAATTTTATATATAATGTTTTTCCCCAAGACAGTCAAAAAGAAAAGGTGGTGCTCCAAAGGGAAAAATGTAGTGGGAAGGACTGCCAAAAGTTTATGCTGCGTTTTGGCATGAATGCCGAAACCTGTCAGCAGGTTCCTCTAAAGGCAGAGCACTCAGCTGGATTTCAGTGCAGGATTAGCACACCTGTGTTTTTCCCCTCATGCATATACAATTTTTTGTCAAACAAAAAATATAAATATAATCTGCTCAAAATTACCTTTAAAACACACACACATTTCTTTTACTTCATTGTAAAAGAAAAAGCTCTATTTATGTCTGTTCAGAAGGATTATAAAAACTCAACTGAAAAATGATAATGAATATTATTATTCTTAAATAACTGGGGCCAAACAGCAAGAAAATCAATCTCAACAGAACACAGGGGTTACTCCTCCCACTTACATAAAAGAGAAATGGAGGAACATTTTGTGGACTGATGAGAGTAAAATTGTTCTTTTTGGGTCCAAGGGCCACAGACAGTTTGTGAGACAACCCTCAAACTCTGAATTCAAGCCACAGTACACAGTGAAGACAGTGAAGCATGGTGGTGCAAGCATCATGATATGGGCATGTTTCTCCTACTATGGTGTTGGGCCTATTTATCGCATACCAGGGATCATGGATCAGTTTGCATATGTCAAAATACTTGAAGAGGTCATGTTGCCTTATGCTGAAGAGGACATGCCCTTGAAATGGTTGTTTCAACAAGACAATGACCCCAAACACACTAGTAAACGAGCAAAGTGTTGGTTCCAAACCAACAAAATTAATGTTATGGAGTGGCCAGCCCAATCCCCGGACCTTAATCCAATCGAGAACTTGTGGGGTGATATCAAAAATGCTGTTTCTGAAGCAAAACCAAGAAATGTAAATGAATTGTGGAATGTTGTTAAAGAATCATGGAGTGGAATAACAGCTGAAAGGTGCCACAAGTTGGTTGACTCCATGCCACACAGATGTGAAGCAGTTATAAAAAACTGTGGTCATACAACTAAATATTAGTTTAGTGATTCACAGGATTGCTAAATCCTAGAAACAAAAACGTTTGTACAAAATAGTTTTGTGTTTGTACAGTCAACGGCAGACACTGCTATTTTTTTGAACACACCCCTTTCAACTAATTGCCCAATTGCACAGCCTTAAGAGCGTGCATATCATGAATGCTGGGTCTTGTTTGCTTTCTGAGAATCTACTGCACCTACTGGTAACTTGTTTGCCATGTAGCAATAAAAAATATACTAAAAACCTGGATTATTCTGGTTAGTCACATTGTACTGCTATTATTTTGAACAATACTGTACAAGATATAGATCTATAGATATATAAAAACTTGAGTTACTTTTCAGAATGAGATTAATAATTACTTTGTAGAATTGACCCCAAACATATATAATTTTATATATAATGTTTTTCCCCAAGACAGTCAAAAAGAAAAGGTGGTGCTCCAAAGGGAAAAATGTAATGGGAAGGACTGCCAAAAGTTTATGCTGCGTTTTGGCATGAATGCCGAAACCTGTCAGCAGGTTCCTCTAAAGGCAGAGCACTCAGCTGGATTTCAGTGCAGGATTAGCACACCTGTGTTTTTCCCCTCATGCATATACAATTTTTTGTCAAACAAAAAATATAAATATAATCTGCTCAAAATTACCTTTAAAACACACACACATTTCTTTTACTTCATTGTAAAAGAAAAAGCTCTATTTATGTCTGTTCAGAAGGATTATAAAAACTCAACTGAAAAATGATAATGAATATTATTATTCTTAAATAACTGGGGCCAAACAGCAAGAAAATCAATCTCAACAGAACACAGGGGTTACTCCTCCCACTTACATAAATAACATCACCATGAATTTAATTCAACTTTAATTACATTTCTTTACAGTTCCTCTCCTCCCTTTATAGTAGCCCAATGAACTGACCTAAAGGAAATCTGAGTAACATATAGATACACTAAAGCAGAAAGATTTGTCATTGCCACAACTCACTCAGATTGTGAATGCTTGCCTCCAGGACAGAAAACCCCCTGCTCATACGCAGAGTGTCCACCTCTCTGCCAGTCCGCTCTGTCTGCAAGGATCCACTATTAAGAAACATGGTCATGCACACAAAGAGACTAATGACCACTAATAAGACCACTGGCCGCTTGAAGGACACAGCCCTCATACTGGTAGTTCGCTGGCTGACGCACAGAAGAATGGAAAATCTTCAGATAACATACATACAAGCAATCACTTGACTGACTTGTTCAACAGATTGCGAAATGCACATGAAAACCTGCCCATGTTAGGCACAGGTAGCTGTAAGGCTTTCAATTAGGAAATGGATGGAAGATACCATCTTAGAT